CACACACACACAGGGCTCGGTGGCGGACGCCGCTGCCCCCTGGCGGTCCTGCCTTGGGCCCGAGCCCCGAGCCCGGGCAGCTCGTCCGCTGGTGATCACACTGACACTTGCTGCTCTGCACGCCGCGCGCTCCTCACCGGGCGCGTTTCCGAAGCACCCTGTGCGCTCCCTTGCAGCTAGGTAAATAGTAAATTGCTATTAGAATCACGTTTGAGCTACAGCACGCCTGCCTCCCCTCCCCTCGCCCTTCCCCCAGCTGGATGGCTTCCCGGAGGTAGGGAAAGCAGGTCTACTTCAAGGCGTCCAAGATGGGCTCAGGCTTCTGTGCTTCCGCTCTGCCAGGGCTCCGAGATAACCTGCAGCCCGGCTTTCAGAGCTGGCCTCGCCCACCGGCCTCCCTGGACAGGCCCACCTCTTGTTGAGCGGAGTGTAACGGACAGCTGAACCTCCCTCCTCGGAGACAGAGAGAACGAGGAGTTTTCGAGAACATCCAGGGGACAACAAGGGACATGTGAAGCCCAGATCTCTTGGGTTAAGGAGTAAAGGCATCTGCTCACAGTCCCTTGGCAGTAAGCAGTGGAGCTGCTGAACCTAAGCAACGTGGCTGACCAGTCTTTCTAAACCTGCCTCCTTAAGAGAGAAGCAGGCAAAAGGACTGGGGGTGGTTGAGTCACCCAAGCCTCCCCAGGAGGGAAGAATAGAAGGGATGTCAGCTGCATCTGGAGGAGGGGCCACCTCCCCCGTGGAAAGCAAAGGAGTCCCTGGCTCTAAGGAGCCGCATATCCCATTCCCACCCAGTTTATGGAGCATGGGGGTCCTGCAAGACCAGCCGTCAAATTGATCGTTTTATTTCTGAAGGAGCTGTGGCAGTGTGCTCAGATCCCCAGAGCTGGTCCAGAACCCTGCCTCCTCGTGGACTGGCAGTGCCTCTCAGCCAACCCCTGATGGGCTTTGATGAAGCAGAGACCTGTTCCCTTTGCCTTGCTGTCTTGTGCCTTGTGCTACAACTCTTCCCAAGCATCTGGTTTATCTCTTCCCCTCCCCTCCCCTCCCCTCCCCTCCCCTCCC